ATGCTAGTTTAGGTCCCAACCGCAAAGTAGCGAGTAAAATAGACTCCTGAATACATGCCCCTTTGAGAAAAATTGGTTTTTTCACCTTATTTCGGTGCAAGTTAGTATTTATTTGAAGGAGGGGGGGGGGACCATTTCAACTCTTATGATTTAAAGGTAGAAATTTTATTTTGTAACACATTTTGTTACATTCCATACAAGAAAAATTTAGAATGGGTAGAGATAAAGAAGCTGAATATAAGAGTATCTCTTGGAGCTCGAAAGAAACGACCGTTAGCGCTATGGCCGCTATGTCTACGTCGGGAGCTATTACTCACACACTCTTACACGTATTCTCCAATGGCCAGGTATGATTAGATGGTATTGCTCTGTCATAGAATAATAAGGCTACGCCAGGGACCAGTTCTATAGGACCCTGGACTCCCGTAAGAGTCAATGTAAAAATTCGTGAGCAGGTACTAGTGCTGCTATCGCGCGTAGGATCCTCGCAACTCACTGCTGTTATCAGTTGTTGGACTTCATTAAAATCCGTAGGATCGCGTATAACTGCGAAAAATCGAATTTTTCGTCATGCTTATAAATGCGACAGGCCCTTCCATGGCGAAAGGGGTCGAAAAACGCCAAAAATATACTTATTTTTCAAGAATTCAGCCGCCTTATGTGTTATTTTTCAATCTCCGGCTTAACCTCACTTTTGGAGCGGGCGATGGATGAGTCGAGGTTCGGGGGGAAGGATCCTCTGAGTTGACTAGGATCCTACGCGAGAATGCGCTGCAATCACCCGCTCACAACAGAACGGCGTCCTATAGAACTCGTCCCTGGCTACGCCTATAGAAAGGACACTCTCGCAGATTTCGTGACGAAGAAGAAGAACAGGGACCTGGAGCTCTTGAGCTGGAGCTGGCGGGTATTGTTTACATTCGGAAATGAAAATGGCGGCGGTAGCCAACTGTAACACTCTAGTTACTAGAGTCCCTTTATACCCAGAGTTAAGACAACTCACTTTTGGTTGGGCTGAAAGTGGCCTAAAAAAAAATCCAATTCTGATTGGTTCTCGTTCATGGAGGCCGAAACGAGTGCACCAAGATGGCGGTACCTCGAATGTGAACAAGAATAATGAAAATATTACCTAATTGTGGTTCATCAAGAGTAAATTATTATTTCCATCGATCCAAAATGAAAATAGATTAAGAAATTATTCACAAACCAATCTCATTTTCTTTTTAATTGATCAATTTGTTGATGTTGTTGTTTTTGTTTGACAGACATCGCAGGATTCCTGATCCTTATCCCTCAATATCGTTCGTTTGGGTGCACTCGTTTCGGCCTCCATGGCCAGCCAAGGCCGGCTGCCAGTCAGCTGATAATCGAGTTGTCTTAACTCTGGGTATAAAGGGACTCTACTAGTTACCACCTCTGATTATTGGCTCAGCCATCTTAGGCTGAATGGAGCCCTTAGGACCCAGAGTACCTATATAGCGAGAGTATGGACAGATCGCTTCATGGAGGGCTTAGGGCCCAAAAGTGCAGCCACCCTTCTAACCAACTTCTAGCGCACAAAATTTCACTGCCAGTCTGCACATTCCAATTCTAACCAAGAAGGCTAAGAATGTACATAAATGACCGTTCTTCCGCAAAAATGAGTAAATTTATGCAACAAGTAAGTCAAATACGTGCTTTATAGACGATGGTTCGTAACAATTGTATTAGTAAAGCGCTCTGGATAATTGAGATTCATAGGTTGGCTGCATTTCTGGGCCCTAACTTTATTCGCGAAGACATCGGTGAAGGCCTGATGGATTTTCGGAGTTTCACATCTGTCTATACTCTCGCTATACAGGTACTCTATTAGGACCCAAAAATGGCGGACGCCATAAAGTTAATGTAATGCAAAATGACTCAAAATGTAGTTTTCTTTGCTTATCGTAACGAGAAATTTACTTATATGCACTATTGCGACATATTTTTAAGGCTAATCGTGTGCAATTTTTGAGAAAAATGATCTTAGATGTAGTAAGGTTGGCAGCAAGTGCGGTTGGTGATAACCGTCAAAAGTTGGCAATGACCCCCCTCCCATCCTCAAAAACCAAAACAAAGCACCGCCATTTTTGGGTCCTAAGCCTCTCCATCAACGAACTACACCTCTAGAATGGCCGCGAGATAGCAAACCTGCGTAACGCGCATGGGCCGATTTTTGAAGGCAGGAGGGGGGTGGGAGCCCAAGTATAGCTAACCTCAATCTCCATTTCTGCTGCGTCTTGCCCATAAGGATTACATGTGAAAATTTCAACCTATGTAAACTTTAATTTTTTTTTTAGGTTTGCTTTCAAAGTTCCTATTTTTTGAGTTAAGAAAACCTTTGGAGGTGCGATTATTATGCAATCTTTTCATTGCTATCACTTTATTCAACAATATTCGGCAAAATGTGGGCAGCGTCTGACATGGGTTTAGATGGCAGCCTGCTGTGTGAGCCCAAGTAAACCTAACCTATATCAACTTCAAAACGTTCCAGGTCTCTAACACTGGTCGGCCATTCTAGAGGTGTAGTTCGTTGCTCTCCATGGGACCCAGTAGTCCCGTGTGTGAAATATTGCAGTAAAACAACGAACATTGATAAGCAGGTAATAATTAAGATATTCGAGAGACGGGGATCGAACCCACATCATGATTTAAGTGGACGCTTCCGACGTCTTTGACGACTCGGCCACAGCTCATCTTGTGGGAGCAGTGGCGAATCTTGTGTACATAAGTGTAGAGCTACTGCGCAACCTCCTCGACCACTGCGCATCCTCCCGCGCATAGCGGTAGCAGTCTCGGAGCATTCTGAAAATTCACTCACTTTTATAACGTGATTGTAAAAAAACCTGGGTCCTATTTCCAAAATCTGAATAGAGCGGGCTCATCTAGGGCCAATTACCCGTCGATTACCGCAAAAAACTTAGAAATCGGCCCGGTAGAACGCTCAAACGAACTATGACAAAAAATATAAATTTACATTGTTTAAATGGGAGAATTCGCAACTTTACCACTTAATATAAAAAAACCTAGGCCATATTTTTAAAATCTTAAAAGAGTTGGCTTATCTAGAGACAATTGCCCGTCGATAGTCGCAAAAATCATAAAAATCGGCTTTGTAGAACGCTGGAACTAAGCGTCACCAGTTTCGCAAAATTAGGAGGCTTGAGAGCTTATAGTATAGAAGTATAGATAGAGTCGTAATGTAAATGGGAGAGCTGGCGGCATGTTCTGCTCGACGAATTCCGAGCCCGGTGTGCGCCGAGTTCGGGTCGCTTTTTCGATACATTTTCGATCCAACATGGCGGTGTGGAATACGTGGTAATGGGTCTGTTGCACCTATTTTTTTTAATTCATTTTCTAATAAAGTGCATCATTCTGAGCTTCATGAA